ACACTCAGTGCATTATGGGAATCCTCCAGCCTTTTACACTTATTGCAGTGTTATTATTGCAACTAAGGAAGGATTAAGGGTCACCTGATCCAGCCGTAACTTTCAGCTTTGCCAAAAAGGAAGGTTTTAAACCTAATCTTGAAGTATTTAGACTCCAAACTGGGAGCTGGTTCCACAGAAGAGGGGCTTTAAGGCTGAAGGCTCTCCCTCCCATTCTGTTTTGGAATAAAACCAGCAGAGAAGAGCTCTATTGGGGTAGTACTAGGAGGTCTTTAAGGTAAGAATGGGCCTGATTATTCAAGATCTTATATCTGAGGAGTAGGATTTTAAATTAGTTTCTGGATTTAAAATATTGGAGTATTTTTTAAACTGCTCATCTCCTTAGCCTTCTCAAACACTGGGCTAAAATGGCTTGTTGATTAGAGAGGTCAGAGGAGGATGGCCATACTAATTGCAGGTGGAAGAAAAGTGACAGAATTACATCTACAGGAAAACACAACAAAAGTTTACAAAGTGCCTTGCAGAAATTAGTCAATAAATAACAGTTTTTGTGCTATCCTTAGTGTTTAACTCTTGTCTTTGCCTTGAGGTGGTAACCAGAGACTTCAGGTGGTTATTAAACACCAACTCTGGTTGTCCAACACTTTGACTGTCAGGTAGGAAAAAAGATACACAAAGTTTAAGATTTTAAAGTGGACCATTTGGGATACGTTCACCAATAGGTGTACCAGGCTATGACAGTCACACAATCAGGTTCTTTTACTCTGACTTTGATTTTCTAGCTTCAAACATCTGACATGAAAGCAATAAGTTGTCTGCTTCAGAATAAGTACATTTCGGTTTATCACAATAACTTCACTTTGATCACAGCAGCTGTGGTAAAGGCACACAGGGATGATCAGCAAACAGGTGCTAGACCTGGTACTGATGGGCTTAGTTGCTTCTGCAGCACCTCTGCCTCTGCACGTCTGCCACACATAAACCCCATCAAGGGCTCTGCTTTCTCTTCAGGTGGGGAGGGTAAGGGATTTTGGAGGGCAGACAGAGACAGGGCTGGAATGCTGATCTACTGCTGCCTTTTCTGTTTTACACAAAAATTGTAGCATGAACATGGGGCACCGAGGTAGCACTTTCAACACTGCAATACTCCCAGGCAGCCATATCAGCTGCACAAGTGCTGCATTTTGAAGAACTCTACGCTGCAGAATTTTAGTCCTAGGACGGCTGATGAGCTGCTACAATAGAAATCTGCAACCAAGACAGTGTTAGACTATATACATGACAAAAAAGCCATACATTTTGACCACACCTTTTTACCCATGTCTGAGCAGCAGCACTACAAGGTAAACGGATGATGGGTAAATCCTCAGCTCCTCTGGACTATGAGAGCTATAAAAGCCATATGTGAAAACCGGTGATGTTGTTGGTGGGGCGAGTGTTTTTTCTTGTTTTATGTCAGAAATAAATACAACTTGGGGTTTTGAACTGTTGGTTTAAACAAAGACATCTGATAGCCAGCACATACGCTTGGCACCTTACTTGATCTATAAATGTCCAGTTAAGCAATGATAGCTTAGATATTTCTCTAATTTATAGAGATTTACAATCAGTGATGTGATAAACAGTTACTCCCAGTAAATGTTGATTCAGACATTAAGAAGCTGACTTCTGTTGTAATTTTTCTTTCCGTTCCTGGTATGCAAAGGTAAATTTTGAAGTTTTGATTTGACTTCTATGACAATAAACTAAATAAGTGAAGTGACTCATAATAACTAACAGTGCTTAAAGGCAACGAGGAACAAGGAAAATGGATTTCAATGCACAGGGTTACAGCTCTAAAAATCATCCTGAATGGATCCAGTGGGTACATTAACCATTTGAGAATTAATAAGTGATCCCATAACGTCGAAAATTACTAAGTAAATCAACAAATTATCAGAAAAAGTCCAACTTCAATTCGCTTAGTTGATCTTTTTGTTAGGAAACTACAATTACAGTAGATGTTACATTTTTAATCTTCTCATAAATGCAAGAATACTTTATGATAATTAATATCAAAAGTGCAATATCAAAACTGATTCAATCTTTGAGCACTTAAGACTGTTTTTGATCAGGATGCTGTTAAAGCAGAGATACTAAAATGAAAAGATAAAAACAAAAATTGCATTTACAGGAAAAAGCTTTTACTCATCTGCTACTACAATTAAGCTGAAAATATATTTTCCATGCAAGGGAAAATAAGGCTAATAACTATAAATGAATAAATAAAAGGACGTTTTATCTTTAATACCCATTTAGATATACACTAAATTTCCAATGGTTTTTTTTCAGTGAACTTGGAGCAGTCCTTAAACTCTAGAAATGTAAACAGCCCACACTAAATGCACTGTCTGGTGTCCAAGCAACGCAACAAACCACTATTTCATACTTCAGGGCCACTGTCACCAGTTCAGCCACTTCACATTAAAGCAGGTATAAATGTAGATACAAACGCACACATTGAATGAGGTGAAAAGAGGTGCTGACTGGGACAATGGGGCTTTGTTCACATCCTGACAATGCTCATTTTTCAAGAGGAGCAAACTCATCAATAAAAGTAATTTGAGGACAACATTATAAACTGCTCAGCAACTGACCAGTTCTGCATAATGCCACTACACTGAGAAGCCAGTTAAAAATGCACTTTCACCCTTTAATGACGAGGACAGATCATTGTGTCCTCACTGGGACACGGTGGGAACAATCATTAAGGTCAACGTACGTCAAACCACCCAAAACATCTAAAAATTGAACCAACACGGAAGATAAATATAACAGTTATGTTTTTAAAGACAAATAAATAAATGTTGCTAAAAACTGATGCAATTATACTCAGTAGACTCAAAATGTACCCAAAGAGCAGTGAACATTGCCTCCCTTTCAGAGCTTTGTACTCCGTCTATTAAAGTAAAAATACCCAAAGAACAATAAATGATCCTTTACACCATAAACTGAATCACTCCTTAATCAAAGAAGCTAAGAGTGAGTTTTCATACAAACAAATGTTTGATTAAATTGCCCCCAAACTCTTGCTTAAAGGCAGCCGGAAAAATATGATGATCATTCATGAGTGTTAAATGTTCAGAAATAAAAAATGCAGTCCTGCCACAAAGAGTTGACCTTCTGTACAAAGCAAGGATAGAAGCACTCCTGAGCCACCAAAAAAAAGAACAGGTGTTGGCTGGTTTCTTTGTTAGCTACAAAGTGGGATAAGGAATAACACTCACTGTATTACAGAGTGCAGAAACTGAAGAGGTAGCTACACGCATCAGAAAGGAAACAAAGGAAGATGAAGGGAGAAGAGAATTTCCCCAGTGTTAACATCTGTTCCAGAAACCAGGAATGCTATAAGCCGGTGTTTAAAAAAGGAAGAGAGATTGAGAGGGGAGGTGGAAAGGAGTGAGGAAGCTTATTTGAAAGACTTAAGCTGCATGGTTACGTAAGTGATATGGGATCCTCTGAAACTACACTCTTTCAGTCAAAGTTATTCTGCATTAGCACCGTCAGACATCTCGTCCATGTTTCGTCCAACGGTTAGAGCTGCAGGCTCTCTCTTCTTAAACCTCATCCTTCCAGACATGCATACGCTGCACTCACTCACACACATACACATACTAAACATGCACAAAGGCATCTGTGCACTGGCATTCACCCTCTGGTTGTAATGTCCGTGTGTAGCTATTAAGTACAAAGGCTGTGTAAATATACACATGTAGCCCTGTGCTGTATCGGGTCTTGATGAGTTAAACAGGTGAAGAATGTGATGAAACTTTAACTCCAGAGTCATTCCTTTGCATCAGTCACTGCAGGCTACGCGGTGCCGTGTGTGTCTGTGCAACGAGTCTGACTCTCCAACAAAAACAGTTAAATAGCGAGCCCCTGCTGACAGAAAACCACCCAGGTGTATCTGAGTCATACCACCTTCCATTCACCTAAAGCTCTCTCTGTTTTCCTCTGTGTCTTTTTCTCAAATACACCTAATAACCTTGTCACCCTACCTGTATAGAACACACAAAAAAAAGAAAGAAAAATCGGATCCGTATATCAGCCTTACAGTCCTGTCTTCCTTCTGTGGGAGAGTGGAAGCTGTACTGTGTTCCTGTCTCTACTGCATCAGCATCAGATTGGTTTACAGCCAGCCTGGCACAGAGCTGGCTCACAGGGCGGCTGGACTCGGTTACCGAGGACCAATTTGCCATCAATACACAATCTGCGGATGACTCATTTGCATTAATGAGTTTGAGCAAAAGGCGACAAGCAACCAGAGGCATAAAGTAGACTGGATGATATTTCTCTGCAGTCGGTGACTGGCGGAGCAAAGATTTATTGTTTACAACGAACCTTGCCAGCTCTGCCTGGTACTTCTCAGTCAGAAGCCTGCAAGTACTGCTCTGCAGTAATTACAGTGCCACACAGAGAAAATAATGGACAGAAAACAAGAACATGCTTTTGGAAAAACAGGCAGGTTATGGTCCTCATGGAAGATCAGCACTTTAGTCAGATTTTTGCTCACTAATACCTTACTGCAGTGTAAAAAAAACGAAAGAAAAAAGAAGAGACGGAGCACAAGACAGAAATGTGAAGAGGGACTGTCACACAGTGAGAGATAGAGTACTACTCTGCCTTATCAGACGGCTCAGACAGGACAGTCAATAAAGCAGGTATAAAGCAGTCCAGAGGAGTAGGAAAGCATGCAGTGTGTTATAACGTTTCCCCGTGTCTGTATGCACAGGACATACATGTGTGCAGGGAGACTGTGTACACACAGTAGAAACACGCTCATCACCAGGTTTCCATGTGTGCCCCAGCACCCCTGACCATAGCATGACAGAAGAACAAGAAGAAGTGAGGGGGGCGTCTCAACCTTCCTGCCCCCTTCTCCAGGCTACACCTCCCCTCCTCACGCCAACCCCATCGCCCCACCCCACCCCTGACTACCCCACCTGTGAATATCCCAGTACCTTGCGCTTTTTATCCCGTGACCGACTCCTCTTTTTGGCCCTCTCCTCCTCCTTCTCTTTGCGCTCCTGCTCTGCTAGAGCTTCTAAATCCTTGTTCTTACGAAGATGTTTGGCCGCTTGTGCCATGGCGTTGGTAGTTGGGGTCTCGGTGGCGTTGGCGTGTCCAGATCTTACAGCAGTGGTTTGCGGGTCGACGGCACTGGCACTTTACCTGGCGTGGGCCAACACTAGCGCTGCCGCTGTGTGCTCCTCTATGGCCCTGCAAAGTGTGCGAGCGTGCTCACCCTCTGCCTCCTCCTCCTCTTCAGCAGTGCAGTCACACACACACAAACACACCGGCAGTCCTCATCCGTCTGCTGTGGGATGCTACTGCAGCGCAGCTCTCTTTCGCTCTCCCTCCCTCTCTCTCTCTCCCTCCTGCTTTGATGCTTGCACTCTCCTGCTCTCTCACTTCTTCCGTTCAATTCCTCTGCTCTCCTCCTTTCTGGTCTCCATTCGTTTCTGTGGAGAAGAAAAGGATAACAGCAAACAAACAGCTTTTCCTTCTTTTTCAGTTGTTTTCCTTCCCTACATCTCTCTTCTGTTCACTGCTTTAATGCATTGTGAAACTGCTTCGACCCACCCACCCTGACACACACACACACACTAACATGTGCGCGTCAACAAAGATTAAAAAGGGATGAACTGACAGTCAGTTAAGAAATAGCTTGAGCTGCTTTAAATCAAAGTCAGCTCTTCCTCCTCACATTGCATTGATTTCGTTTCCTTTTCCAGCATTTAATTTCTCAGTATCTCCTGGTCCTGCTGCGTATCCATCTGTGTAGGATCACCAGGTTGCACAGCGAACCCGTCGTCCCCACAGCCAATCACACCATCACTCATAAACATACACACAGTCCACGAAACCAGAGAAAAGAAAAAACTAAAAAACTAAAACATGCATGAGGGAAAAGCTGCCTCTTACTTGTTTACCTCTCTCTCCCTTTCTCTCTCTCCCTCTCTCTCTCTCTCTCTCTCTCTCTGCTCCCTCCTCCCTCTCCACTGTTCAGGCGCTGCAGCAGACAGAATTGGTACCCAAGCAAGGATGTTGGTGCAGTATGCTTTTGTATGTAAGAATGATGCTGGGAGCATTAAATGTCTAAATTCCCCATCATTGCTTGACTGGCTATTGTGAGTTCCTGATTCCCTCTCCTTGAATCTCCTCTCACAGTTTTGCATACAATAAAAGACAAAGGGCACTATATTTACTGTAGTAAAAACAGCTTCTCATGTACGCTCTGCATGTACACTGTGAGAGCGAGCATGGAGCTGGCACCTGTTTACTGATATTGCTCTCTCCCTCTTCCTCTCTTGGTTTCTCCTCTCCCTCTCTCTCTCTCTCCCCCTCATCTTTCCTCCACCCCACAAAACTGCTGACGCAGGCAGAAACGATCATTTAACATCTCTCTTTGCCCAGCTTGCTATACATCACACATACAGTTCACACTGACATTGTAGACACACAAACACAGCACACACATGCCACCACATGTGCTTCAGTGCCCCCCCACACACACACACACACACAGGAGAGGGACAGCTGGTGAATGGTGTTTTTTTTTTTGTTTTTTTGCAGCCAGCTCTTAATTTTTGGCTTATTTTATTATCCGTCATTAGTTATTTCAAAACAAGTCATTACAAAACACATAAAACAGCCAAGATATCATTGCACACTTCTTTAATCATATTTCCTATTTTTACATTTCTTATCAGCTTCTTATTTAAGGAGTGACTTGTATACACTGATTATCTTTGAAAATAACACCAATTTGTGAGGCATTTTGGCTGCCCCCAGTCCACATCTCTGCACTTGCTAAGATTTATCCATAACTATGTTTTTCTCTGCTCTCCAGCCATGGCTTTCCCTGATCTGATAGCAGCTTGCTCTCTCTCCACACTGCAGCATGCTAATGAATAGGAGTGGTGATATTCTCCTCTGTCTGCAATGCTACTAAACAAATCACTTGCTCGTGTGCCCTAGCTATGAAACAAACACAAACACAGACAGGCTGACAGCTTTGTGACAAGAGATCCATCACAATACTGAACCCCTGGGGAATGTGTCTGAATGAGTCACCAGCAGGACTGACTGCCCTGATAATAAGGAGGGGGTTTTTTTTGCTTGGGCAGCCAGACTGGTATTGTTAACCACTTGTCGAGTGAATGGATGGGCAGTTTTACATTGGACTTCAACACACCTACTGTGACCAGTTATAGTTGTATTACCATTCAATGCAGTGCCTAGTCAAAACCTGTGTACAAGAGGGCATCCCATACCCATGAAATATGGAAAATCTTCCTGATTAACAAACAGTGTTTCATATTAGACAAAAGGTTCTGACAGAGTGCAGTTTCACAGGACACATGTAACTGCTTTATGCTTAAATCAGTAGAAACCGACAGCAAACAGATCAATCTAAATAAACACGGCCTGCTTTAGAAAGTAATATAGGTACTTATGGTTATAAGATAATCAACCAATCACGGCAGGTTTATGATCTGAGGTTGCTTCAGCTAGTCAAAGGTACAGCAACGTTATGTGCCAAAAAATGGGGTCACCTGACTACCTGACTAATCAGAATGATCACGTTTTGTTCCCTGATTGCATGGGCATGTTCAAAGATGATGATGTCAGAATTCACTTGACTCAAATTGTGAAAGAGCGGTGCAGGGAGTGTAAGACATCGTTTATCAACAGTCTCCAGACCTTAAACCCACTGAGAGTCTTTGGAAGAGTTCACGCAGTGGTCCAACTCTACATCATCAACACAAGATCTTGGTGACAAATTAATGCAACTCTGGATGGAAATAAATGCAGTGACATAGAATAAGCTCACTGAAACAATGCCAAAGTGAATGCTTGCTGTCATCAAAGCTAAAGGCGACCCAGTGAAATATGAGAGTGTGAGACTTTTTTTTTTTGGCTGGGAATTGCATTTTTCAACACAAATGATTTTGTGGTTTCAGCTGTATACAAACACACTTTCGAGTTGACAAATATGATGAATATGGGTATAAGGTGCAGACTTTAAGGATTCTATGAAAAATATTACAATAATCACTAATTAATCGTAACCATTTATCCACATTTTCCTATTTTTGGATAATTGCACAATTCTTTCGAAAGCTGTTTCATGGCCAAATGGGAGCAGTTTCTTAAATATTTCTTCATAAATTTAGAAAGGTCTGTAGTTGTTTCAAAGTGTGGCATTTCCATTTGGAAGCTGTTGAACCCACAAATATGCAGCAAAAGAGCTCAAACAGGAGATTTCTTGGCCACACAAACACAAAGAAAACTGTCAGATAGGTGGGGCATTATGAGGGGCTGCATCAACAGTTCTGTACATTTTGGCGGAAGATTGAAGGAACCTCTTCACAACATCTATCCAAACGGTTGAACCTGTACTGGAATGTTAGGTAGAGAAAAATAAAGAAAAGGCTTGGATCTCTTTATTATTTGAACTACTAATACTACATCACCTTTAGGAGGCAGTGTGATGTATGGGTATGTATTGTTTCCAATGGCGCTGGGTCACTGGTGTTTATTGATTATGTGACACAAGACAAAAGCAGTCAGATGGATTGTGAAATGTACATTCCTCGGATTCAGCCATATGCAGTAAAGTAATTGCATGGCACCTCACAGTGCAGATGGACAACGGCCTGAAGCATACTGCGACAGCACGCTGTGAGTTTTAAAGGTAAAGAAGTGAATTATTAACAATGCTCGGGGTCTATTAGCTGGTATGACCCTACTTGTTTCACTTCGTGCATCAAAAACTCAATACAGAAACACCAAAAAAAACAAATAACTGAAGACAGGCAGGATTCTTAAGGGTTAAATCTACAACTTTAAATAAACACTGTTATATAGTGTCCAGTTAGATTTAAAAAAAAAAAATAGGGAACTGTGTAGAAAAATTTACTATAATTCCTGATTAGTTATGCAGTATTTGTCATGGTCCTCGAGTCCTCCTATGCATCTCCGCCATTTCTCTCTTTACCCTTTGTTTTCCTTGTCTCTCTCTCTGTATTTGTGATTTCTGCTCTGTGTGTAGGTGCGTTGACCTACTTTACAGGGGTGGGATCCTCTTCTGGACGCGCCTGTGCATCCCTATGATGCAGTGCTTCCGGCTCCAAAGGACCTGCCCCGGAAGAGCCTGGGACCCCAAACTTGGATTGACCATGGAGAATAACCGATGCAGCTCTGTTGTACCGATCTCTCCTTGCTAGAATGCCTGAGATGCAGGTGAGTGCCCCTAGTGACCCATTTAATTAACATGCATCTTTGTCGGCCAAAAAAGAGCCCCCGGCAGTGACAGTATGGATACTGGTGGGCAAAACTGAAAATAATTCATCCCTACTTGATTTGCTTGTCTTTGCTAAGCTCTCCTTCCAGTCTCTTTCACGCCCCCTGCAGGCTCTTATTAACTCCATGCTTGAGCAAAGCTTCCAGGATGGGGCTCTGGCTGCAGAACTCAGCCTCCCCCTTAAGCATTACCTGAACCTCTTCATGTTTCCTCCCTTGATGGCACCTGTCGCCCAGATATCAGTCATCGCATACTCCCTGTAAATCATCTTGTCTGGTAACCATAACGAACACATTCAGCTATACATTTCTGAAGCACCTAATAATCCACTCATCCTTGGACACCCATGGCTCAGCAAACATAACCCCCAAATTGACTGGGAAAATAATGCCATCATGGGATAGTGTCTGTCTTGTCACCAGTTTTGTTTCAAGTCTGCTTTTCCTTCTACGGCCCCGCCAGAAAACTACCCGAGCCGCCTGACCTTTCTGTGGTGCCTTTGCTTACCATATCTTGCAAAGGTATTCCGCAAAGACCATCTCTTCACCTCATCAGTTGTACAACTACGCCATAGATTTTTTTCCCAGGAACACCACTTCTAACAAGTAGGTTAGTCTTTTCAAACCTGAAGCTATCCATCACTAGCTCACTGGCATTATCCGTCCATCATCCTCTCTTCTTGGGGCAGGGCCTTCCTTTGAAGTAAAGGACAAAACTCTATGTACATTGATTTTTGAGGACTTGATGACATCACTGCTAAAAAATAAATGCCCTTTGCCATTTCTCAACTCTCCCTTTGTGTTATTACAGGGAGCTACTGTGTTCAACAAGTTGGATCTTCAGAATGTCTATCATCTGGTACGGATCCAAGAAGGCGATGAGTGGAAAATTCGGTCTAACACCCACTTAGGGCATTCCTGTATAGTTGGTTAACTTACCTGGCAGAGTGAGTCCCTGTTCCAGAACACCCAGCAGGATGAACCCTGGCAGCGGTCCTGCTAACTAGCTGCTCATTCCTTTGGCTGAAAAGTTGTTAGCTCTCCTGTTAGACTC